AGACACAAACTTGATCAAATGATTGGTGTTAATTAACATCACTAGTGATTAAGACAGTGTCAGCATTATATACCTGCTGTGATGCCGGGAGAATATAACACTTCTGTTGCATTCTTACCCCAAATTGCATAGCGCAATCTGATCATGAGAAGATTACACAAATCCAAGTTGAGGGATATTCATTCATTAAAACAACACATACAAAACACATTATGGTCACAAATGATCAGGAAAGGCAGAAAAAATGTCTCATGTTGGCGACTGAGATGTGACAGCTAAGTGTAGTGGGCTGACGGACTGAACCAGAACACAGAAATAGGGCACTAGGAGTACTTTGACCAACGCTAATTTCCTGGTTTTGATAAATGCACTATGTGTAATTCAAATTGATAACACCAGATCTGGGTGTGGTGGCACATGTCTGCAAGCCCAGCACTGGGGGCCAGAGTCAAGAGGAGCCCAACCTGGATGATACAGTGAGTTCCAGGCCAGCCTGAGTTATAGAGTGAAATCCTGTCAGAGGAAAACAATAAATAAATTGCTAAGATCAGAGGAAGATAGCTGAAGGGTGTATATATAAATATTCCATAGTTTTAAGAACTTTTCTTTGAATCAGGAGTTATTTCAAAGTAAGAATAAGAAATTTGATTCTTAGTAACTACACAGGCTTGCACCTCACACACAACCCTAAAGGGAGAAAATTACCTTATCTGTGGAAGCACACAGAGACAGATGTGTACACATGGGAGTCACAATCTAGACACCAGATTCCTATCTCCTGGCGTCTATGAAAGGCATTGTCTGGACTCCTGGCTGACCATGTCCTCCTGTGGAGGGGTCCAGGGACAGTCAGATGGGCTTTTCTCTTCTGAAGGATGTCAGGGTGTGGAGAACAAGGCAGAGGCACATTCTGAGGATATTCCTAGCCTTGTCAGCCAGGATGTAGGGACCTGTCAGGGGCCCTGGGCTCAGCCTGTAAGGATGAGGTCATCTGGTCCCTGTCACTGGCTAAGTCAGCATGGGTTCTAGCCTGCATCTTGATTTCAGAGTCCTGTCACTGCATCTGTGGGGACAGAGGTTCAGCTTTCATCCAGCAAAGGTCATCACCTTTCTATCTGCCACAACTCAAGCCTGGGGGAAATCTCCCCAGATGCCCACAATGCCCAGACAGAGGTGCAGGCAAGAAGGTGATCAGGGTCTGTCCTTAGTGCTACTCACTGCTCACCTGTGATGCTATTTTGCTGGTGCCATAAATGATATAGCCCATCCACATGAGGCCACCCCTCTGGAGGTGGACACTATTCATCTACTCTTTAAGAAATTGTATAAGAGGACTGGAGAGATGGCTTGTGGGTAGGAGCACTGGCTGTGTAAGCACGAGGCTCTGAATGAATACTTCAGTACCCATGTTTTTAAAGAATGCTGGGAATGGCTGTGTGTGCCCTGAGAGCCATTAATCAGCAATAACCCACAATTATGTCATATCCCACCCCCTCTTTCTTTCTACCCCCATCCTCTCTTTTGTGTCTTGATACAGAGTCTCACTATATATCCCAGGCTGACCTTGATCCTCCTGCATCACCACCCTCAGTGCTATTCCAAGCATGTGCTGTCATGTCTGTGTTTTACCCAAGTCTTGTAAGTGGAGTGATGCGTCTGTGTGACAAGCCTGTTTCAGTAAGCATGATATCTTCATCATCAGTCGTTCATAGAGGCTGTGCCCATCACTTGCTTTCTCTTAGAGTGAGATAAACTCCATTGTTCATATATACAAGATTTTGTTTATCCATTCAAGCAGTTGATGGAGATCAGGGTGTGTTCCTCTTTCAGCTTATTGAGAGCAATGCTGCTATGGACATGATTGTGTAGGTAATTTGTAATATTGATTAATTGTGAACATGCACCTGGGAGAGTGCAGGTGTCTGAGCTGGACTTACAGGCAGTCATGAGCTACCTGAGTTGGATGCTGGCAACTGAACTGAGGTCCTTTGCAAGAGCAGTAGATGCTCTTGCACTGAGCCATCTCCCAGCCCTCTTATACACCCTGGTTTCAATTCCAGCCATCTCCCAGCCCTCTTTGAGACCCTGGTTTCAATTCTTTTAGTGTTTACCTACAAGTGGAAAGGGTTGATTGTGTTCCATTATTTTTTTTTCCAGAGCTGAGGATGGAACCCAGGGCCTTGCACTTGCTAGGCAAGCGCTCTACCACTGAGCTAAATCCCCAACCCCTTGTGTTCCATTATTATTGATACTATTTGACACAGGGTCTCATGTGTCACAGACTGGTCTGGGACTCATCATGACTTGGGGCTTCTGCTTCCATTTCCTGCATGCTAGGATTATAGGCATGCACAACCACACCCACTTTATTCTATTTTTAATTTTTTGAAGGACAGTAACACTCTTCTCACAGCAGCTGTGTCATTGTACCTTCTGCTGTGGTTTGGGTTTTGTTTTGTTCGGGGACAGAGTTTCATGCTGTATCCCAGATTGGCTTGGAACTCAGCAATCCTTCTGTCTCAGCGCTTGGGTGCTGGGCCATGGGCTGGATCTTATATGTCTCTTACTGAAGGCTTGGCTCCCCACTTAAAGCTGCTGTGGGTTGGTGGGCACTTGGAGAGGTGAGGCTGACTGGGAGGAAGCTAGGACTTTGGAAGGAGATTTGGGGACCCTGCTCTCTTTCCCATTCTCTCTCTTTCACAAGGGAAGCTGCTTTCACTCTCCATCAGGATACACCGCCTCACCACAGAGCCCAAAGCAACAAGGCCAACTGGTCATAGGCTAGAACCTTCTCTCTTCATAAGCTGCTTGTGTCAGGTATTTGTTGTAGTAACTAGACTGAGTGACAGAGTCTCACTAGTAATTCCATCTTCCCCATTCTCCTGAATACTTTCTGTTTTGGTTAGTTGCCACCGGACTGTGGGTTACTACCCCTTCTGGAGAGACCCCCCCCCCACCCTACTCACCCTGCTTCTCACTTCCCTTCCTTCTCTTTCCGGCCACCGGTGCCCTTTGCCTTTTGATTCCCAGCATCCAAAGCAGCAAGCCAGGGAGAGAAAGGCCGCTGAGCAAAGCAAGTCATGGTGTACCTGAGCATGTGAAGGAGTCACTGGATGTGCCAGAGGCCCCTGGGGATGACATGGTGGGACACCTATGGGCTGGGGTAATTGCCCCCCTTCACACCCTCAGGCAAACAAAACCATCCAGGAGGAGAACAGCAGCCAGGTTAGACCAGGTGTTTGTGAAGTTTGCAGCCTCCGACTCAGATGCAGGGAACAGTTCTAGAACTGAAGGATGAGCTGGCTCTCAGTCTTAGAGCCCCAGGGCCAGGCACAGCTGGAGAGACATGGCCACCTGAGGACCAAAGGCAGGCAGGGTGCTAGTGTGAGGGACCCAGAGGGGGCCACAGCTCATCCACTCCCCTGGGCTCTGCATCCTCCACAGCTTCCACCCTTGACTGAGTGTTCGATTGCAGGAGTGACTTCCACAGCCTTCTCCCAAGTATGCTTTCCATAGCAGTTAGGTCAGACTCTTTCTAAGAACACAGATAGGGCTGGGAGAGTTGGCATATATCTATAATTCTCTGTATCTAGGAGGATTACTGCGAGTCCAAAGTCAGCCTGGGTTATTCAGTGAGTTACAGACTACACAAGCCTCTAACCTGTGATCTTGCTGCAAAAGAAGAAAATAAAAACACAAATCGTAGGCTTATTGTTTCCATGGTTCTCAAAACATAGTCAGCTCTTCAGAATTCCCACAAGCTGGCCCTTAGCCTCTTACTGTCCCCTGAACTTCACCTACCCAATCTGCAGGGCTCCTATTCTCAGAACCGGCCATGTCTCATTCAGAGACTCCTTCCTGCAATATCTCCAGATCTAGTTATTCCACAAAGAGAAGGCAGTTTATTTGCCCATTCACACATAAAACAAGCCATGATTTGAATGGCGACTTCTGAAACCCAACGCTAAGTAGGGTTGAAGTTAATTTTCTCAGCAACATAGCTGGTACGCCCCCGCAGGCATCTCAGCTCTGCAGGTGGGACCCACACCCTAGCTGTCTACACCCTAGGGTCAGACACATTTTTTTGATGACTGCTGTGTGGTGCTGAGGGAGAGAGATAAAGAAGCAGGCGAGGCTGCTGTTAGTTGTCACCCCCTCTCTTGGGAGGGGCATAAATTTTGTTTTTACCCCTCCCCCACCCCCTTGGGAGAAAGACAGAACAGAGATGGCCTTTGGAGGTGGGAAAGCAGGAAATCCTACCAGCCTGGTCAACAGCAGGAAGTCAGTCCTTGGGGATGCTCTTTCCAGAAAGAGTGTCTTGACCTATTATCTATCACCTGGTCCTTAGCAAATGTGCATCAGCAAACACAGAAAGGGAGCAGCTCCACATCCAGATTCTGGCGATTTAGGAAACCCCTTCCCATACTACTTAGAAGTAGGTGGTCCCAGCTGGAGCCCCTGCCCACCAGCTGACACTTGCCACAGGAATACCCGGCTCTCCATGAGTACCAAAAGACCAGGTTCTGCTTTTGGCTCCTTGCATCCAACCAGTGACAGGGTACAGCTGTCTCCTTTTGGAAAAATTAGGGCCTCAACACGGAGACTTTTCTGACTCTGTGTCCACATGTGAACTCAACAGACTACCACATCCCTTCTCTCCTCTGTGGCAAGGAACTATCTCTGACTGTATCTTAAGACGGTGTGGGGCTTGGCCTGCCCAGGGAAGCATTGAGTCTCTTGGGAAACTCTATCTGTTGTGAAACCCAGAAAGGAAAAGGCAGTTGGTGACAACGCTCTCTTTTCCATCCCCTCCATGCCACACAGAATTCATCAGTTCTGAGCCTGTGCTGAGAACGCACTCATAACCCTGCTCTGTGCCTGGAAGGTTTGTGGCGGAGTGGGACATTGGCCCAGGCACAGCCAGGGACTGTTGGGGGGGGCACTGATGTAATGAAGTCTCCATTCCCAATGTCTGTCTCCAGCAAAGCGCTGCCACCTACCTCGGTCACAATGGTGGATAGGAAGACGTCCTTGCTGTACTCCCAGCCATCCAGGCAGCTCTCCTGCTCCAGCTGCTCCAGGTTCACATCCAGTCCCGGTTCCAGCCCCAGGGCAGAGAAGTTAGCGATGGTCGCCAGCCGGTAGCGGCGGCACTTCTGGGGCACCTGTCGTCCGTCCTTCGTCTCCAATGGGATACTGTGGTTGCGCCACGCGCTGCTCAGGTTCACGGTGTCAGGCACACGGCAACGATGCTCCGGTGATCCTGCCAGAAACACGACTGACATACCATTGAAGCCGTTGGGGATGATGCTGGCGCTGAGTAGGAAGAAGATGAGGCGCTGGAAGGGGCCCCACTCGCCCAGGAAGGAGGTCACCTCGTCATAGTCCCGCATGCTTCCAGCCTCCTCCACAACTTGCACAAGGGAGTAAGAGGGAATCTGATGACTGAGTTGCCTGGCGGGGGCCTTCCCGGGGTGGCCGCGTACAAATGCGCTGTAGGTTCTGCAAAGCTCCTAGGGGCTGGCACGGAGCTCGGGGAAGCGGAGTTCTCGGGACCACACCCCCCAGTGCGGGCGAGGCACCGAGAGGCTAGTATGCTCACCGATCAGGGGAGGGGCTCCCGGGTCGGCTCCGCCTCCCTGCACCCAGCAGCCTTTCACGCTGGGCCTCCTGCTAGGGATCCGCTGTGCAAAGCCCGTGCCGCGAGCCCGGACCTCTTCTCAGCCCCACGTGGGAGGGTGAGCGTCTGGGAGGAGTCGCGTCCGGAGAGCAAGGTCTCTAAGGGGTTGACCCTGGCTTCAATGTCCGCGTCTTGCCAGACCTAGCCCGGGGCAGGAGTCCGTTGCTCCACGGCCCCAGTCTGGAGTCTGAGCTTAGGCGGGTGGACAGTTTATCAAGTCTGCGCTCGCTGGAGACCTCTGTGGGTGACAGGAATGCCGCCTCTTCACACACTCCAGTGTGGGGGCTCAGTTCTGTGCCTTAGCATGGCCTGGACAGCGGGGGACCAGAGAAGTGTCCTTGGAACAGCAGGATCCTCACCTTGAAAAGAAGCAAATGTGACCCGGGAGCCTGCAAGGGATCTGCAAGGTCATGATGAGTCAGAGACAACGCCCGGTCACAGGCCTCTGAGTAGTCGTCTCTGTGTCCTCTTGAAGATTCCCTGGGGCCTATATAGGAGACACCAGAAGGACTCAGGCCCACTGCGGAAGCATAGCAATGGAGTCACATTTTTCACCACAGCCTAGACTCTGGTGTTTGTCCTTTTGCACTCTCCAGGCACCCAGGGCCCTTTTTTGCGGCAAGCTGCCAAAGCCTTCTTGGACAGAAAGGCCTTCTATTTGCAGAAAGGCCCGTTCCCTGTCCAGGAACCGAGGGAGTAAAGAACAGAAAGAGGACAAACTAGTGAGATTTGGCTCTCAGATCTGGCAGGATGTCCAAAGGGGTGGCCGAGACTGCCTTTTTCTCTCTCTGCTCAGTATCCACCTATAAGGCTCCTGGAACACTGCCCTAGCTCAGGCTGGAGCCTGTGGCCTGGGATCCATAGGGCTGGTAATACTGACAGGCTGTGGAGCGCCCATCATTTTGCACAAAACAGATTGTTTCTCCAGACCCTCTGTGAGAGACTGAAGGGTACTGATGTTTGTTTTTGGTAGCCTCTAGTCTGACCCCTACTATTAGGCTGGCTTCCCACCACTTAGAACCTCAGTTTCCTCTCCTATCATTTAAGACCACACCTCCTAATGTGCCAGGACAACTATGGTTTATGCCTTTGATTTTTATCTGTTTGTTTATTTGAGACAGATCTCTTTAGGTAGCCATGGCTGCTCTAAGCAACCTGTGTAGACCAGACTGACCTCAACTCACTGAGATCTGCTTTCTTCTGCCTCCTAAGTGCTGGGTATGCTAGAGCAGGAAGATTGTGAGTTCCAGGCCAACTTGAGCTATGGTAAGGTCCTGTGTCAAAAAAGGCTTTTTCGTGTTGTTTTTATTTTATAACATTAAATATATCATTAAAATCATTGAAAAACTAATATTAATCAACTAAATATTAGTTGACTAACATTCAATAATAATATTATTTTTTGTCTTTTTTATTTTTAAATTTAAACTAGAAACAAGGTTGCTTCACATGTCAATCCCAGCTCCCTCTCCCTCCCCTCCTCCACCCCTCTCACCAACCCCTCCATCCCCCCTCCCTCAATCCCCATTTCTTTCCCCAGGGAGGGTGAGGCCCTCCATGGTGGTGTCCATAGTCTGTCATTTCATCCAGGGCAGGGCCTAGGCCCTCCGCCAAGAGTCCAGGCTGAGAGAGCATCTCTCATTGTGGGATGGGCTCCCAAAGTCCATTTGTATGTCAGGATAAATACTGATCTACTATCCAAGGTCCCATAGATTCAAATAGTAATATTATTAAAACATTATTAACGTGTATCCCCATGCTTGGCTGATGCAATGCTAGGCATCAGACATTGGCTAGGACTTCGTGGGTGCTGGGCAAGCACTTTCTTTACCAATGGATTAGACACAGATCTTGCTAAGATGTCTCCTCTGGGTCCAAGAGATCTTCCCACTCCAACCTGTGCCCAGATCAAATAGTTTTGTTTTGTTTTGTTTTGTTTTGGTTTTTTCGAGACAGGGTTTCTCTGTGGCTTTGGAGGCTGTCCTGGAACTCCCTTGGTAGTCCAGGCTGGTCTCGAACTCACAGAGATCCGCCTGCCTCTGCCTCCCGAGTGCTGGGATTAAAGGCGTGCGCCACCAACGCCCGGCTCAAATAGTTGTTTTGATCACTGCATTTCTTAGTGTCCCTTTATGGATTTCACCAGCAGGCAGCAAGTGCCTCACACTTTTTCACTTGCCTTGGTTCCATTTCATCCTTGTTGCTATGGGAGAATGGAGTTCGGTCCCTGTGAAGGAAGTAGGGGGCACCACTCTTCCATACTGCCAGGCCGTATGTGAGAGCTGAACAAATGTCAGCCAACTGGGCTGTTTTCCAGTTGCTGACAAGGGTATGTCAATTTCCCTCCATACAGAATGAATCAAAACTAAACAGAGCTTAATATACTAGAAGGATTCCCCCCACCATTCTTTAGGGTCACCCCTAAGATGTGTTGCAGTGACTTTTGGCTAGTATTGACACAGTAAGCTAACAGGTGGGAGTCAGGGCTGAGTATTTTGCCCCCAACAGCTGGTTGCAGAGAACTACCTCAGGAAGCTACAGGTTTGAGTTGAGGGAGACATGCTGGTACAGCTGAGGTAGTGTTTGACCCACCCATGGTTGACAGACATGCACATACCCTGTGATCTGCTTACGTGTGACCTGGAACCTACCACTTCTGTTCTATGATGAATTGCTGCTCAGCCTGAAAGTAGAACTTGCAGAATCTGACAATATCCAGCACACAGGGCTATCTGTATTATACAAACCTTTGATAGCCCATTGCCTGGTTGCTGGTTTTCAATGGTGCACCAAAGTGAACTTGGATGGAATCATTTCTTTGGTCTGTGTCAGGTATTTCTTGATGTTTTCCCAGGAAAATCACATGGTATCTCCTCATCTGGATGGACTGAGCCTTCTGAAATAGTGATTCAAAAATAAATATTTCCCTCTTTATTGTGGGGACACCAGACCTTGAGCAGAGACCCACTTCCCCATCAGCGAGTAGGCAGCTGTAAGACAATGTTTACTAAAAACATGCTTACTAAAGACAATACAATGCCCAGGGCAATAAGTTCCTGGAAAGGCCTTGCCCACGGGAATCGCCCTGTCCTCGACCTTTTCCAAAGACTAACTGCCTCCTCAGACCCACCCATATTCCTCTGGTGTCAGGGTATATAATAACGAGCCAGAATAGGAATAAAGGCGAGCCTTCTTGAGGAGCCTTCTGGTCTGTGTTGTCAATTCCCGACACCCTCCGCACGTTCTCGGACACAGGATGCGCAGCAGATGCGGCACTTTATATGTCAAGCATTCTATGAGCCATGAGAATGCTAAAACACAGCTCCATGACCTGTTGTTTCCTTAAAGCCCCACTTCCCATGATCATCTCGATGCAACTGAATTCCACCATGATTTTCTTTTGTTGAGCAGGCATTCAACCATAGCCATTGTTAATAAAGGCACTGAGAAGAATGGCTTTAATGTCCTGTTAATTCTACCTAGCGTAGCTTCACTTCTGATTTAATAGATTGGCCAGAAAGGCAGGGATTAGTTTTGGGGTTTCATTTGGCCTTCAAACTAATATTCTTGAGACCAAGAGATCTGTCATAGAGAAAGTTTCCTGGGCAATGTATGATAGATCTTTTCTGCTTTCATTTCTGTTATTGTGCTACAATACCCCAACAAAAAGCAACTTAGGAGAGAAAGGGGTTTATTTCAGCTTACAGTTTCAGGTAAATGTCTCTCATTGTGGAGAAGCCAAGGCAGAAACTTAAACAACTAATCTTATCGACAGTGAAGAATCCAGAGAAACGAATGCTTGCATACTCAGTTGTGTTCAGTTCGATATACACTCTTATACAGTTCAGATACCCTGCCTAGGGAATGGTAGTGCCCACACTGGGGTGGGTCTTCCCACATAAACTAATTTAAGACGACCCCCTATTGGCACACTCACAGACCAACCCAATGTAGACAATCCCTTACTGAGACTTTCTTCCCAAGCAATTCTAGGTTATGTCAAATTGATAAAGTTAACCATCACAAGATCTAGCCAGAGAAAGAAGTGAAACAAAGTATAGACGGATTGAGATTTATTAATTATAAAAGCTCAGCCTATAGCTTAGGCTTGTCTCATTACCTCGTATAACTCAAATTAACCCATTTCTATTCATACACATGCTGCCAGGTGACTCGTGGCTTTTCCCTGTCCTTCTGCATGTCTTGCTCCCTCTGTGTCCAGCTAGCAACTTCACCTTTCTTCTTCCCAGAGTTCTCTCTGTCCAGAAGTCCCTGCTATACCTCCTGCCTACCTATTGGCCATTTAGTTTTTTTTTTTTTTTTGGTTTTTTCGAGACAGGGTTTCTCTGTGGCTTTGGAGGCTGTCCTGGAACTCGCTGTGTAGACCAGGCTGGCCTCGAACTCACAGAGATCCGCCTGCCTCTGCCTCCCGAGTGTTGGGATTAAAGGTGTGCGCCACCAACGCCCAGCTCGGCCATTTAGTTTTTTTATTAAACCAATCACAGTGACACATCTTCACACAGAGTAATCCAATGTCTCCCAACAGTAAAACCCCGCACAATTGCAGGAGGTATGCAGGTTATTGGACTCGTAGATAAGCACAAGGGGAACCAGGAATGTTAGTTAAACCGCAGTGTTGTCCCTTCAAAGGGAAGGTATCTGCCCAGAAGGCTTGGAGCGGACATAGTTAAAAGCCTGATGACCTTTGAATCAGATCCTCCTCAGATCTTTATCATGAGCTGACGATCTATAGAACACATCCTTATGGAAGATGTCTTGTGAACTTTGCAAGGAGTTTTTTTTTTTTTAACGAGACAGGGTTTCTCTGTATTGCTTTGGAGGCTGTCAGTCCAGCCCGGCCTCGAACTCATAGAGATCCGCCTGCCTCTGCCTCCCGAGTGCTGGGAATAAAGGCGTGTGCCACCACCGCCCGGCTTGCAAGGAGTTTTTATGTAGTCATGTCTTCAGCTTTATTGTGCAGATAGATTGAGCTAATTATCACTAGAAAAATTTTCACCAAGTTGTGCTGTGCTTAAATAGGCCAACACCAGCTAGTTAGTCCTGTTGAACCAAACTACCGCCTTGTCTCCCAAGAATCATTACACTGCTGGCTGTGGCAGTCACAGAGACCCTTACACTACGTTATCAATAGCGTAGGAAGCAGATGGAAATATGTTTACTGGGTCTATAGATAAGAGTACTGTAAATAGACTGTTTTTTGGGATCACCAGCTCACAAGAAAATGACATGGAGTCTTATTATTAATTACGAAGGCTTGGCCTTAGCATAGGCTTGTTTCTAACTAACTCTTATAACTTAAATTAGCTTATGTCTATTAATTCTATTTTCTGTCTCGTGGCTTTATTACCTTATCTCCTTACTGTCCATCCTGCTTGCTGTGCATCACCTGGTGTCCACTTTCTTCTACCCAGCATCCTCTCTGCCCAGAGATTCTGCCTAGCTATTGGCCATTCAGCTTTTTATTAAACCAATCAGAGTGACACATCTTCACAGCATATAAAAGATTATTCCACAACATTTCTCTCTTTTTTGTCTAAACATAAAGGAAAG